GTATTGGATCCGGATCTAACGATCCAATGCATCCATCTTTGACCAACTCGTAATTTATGTTTTAGAGGTATCACAACTTTAGTTGGGATTAGTCACTACCTTGCAACCTTTTTGGGTTTTAAGCATCATTTTATTCTAAACAGTTAATACCACCATATTATCTCTACTATAGAGACAATCAATTAGATTACTATAATCCAATCATTGATCAATTAGACTACTATAGAGACATGAATATGAGAACTCTTCGTTGATCGCGTTCAGTGAACTCATTCTCTACTGAGCACCTACGTACTTGTCTTGATGTCACACACACCAATGACTCGAGACTAGTCACTCTCCTTGAGAGAAGACATAGCACGTACCGATCTTGACGGACTGTCAATGCCCAATTGACAATCCTATGATCAGGAACATTTAGGATGTGTCTACGAAAGAATGGTCTCATGAATCTAACTTCATTAGATTGCATTCTCCCAATCACATATTCCTTGGACTTTATCGTTTAAGCATATAACATTTATATGAGACGGCTCAAACAATAATCTTTGCCCTTTATATTAAACTAGATTAGTTTAACATGTGAAATGTTCGTAAAGTATCATCATATGATTGGCTTTAGAGCACATTTCCAACAATCTCCCACTTGCACTAGAGCCAATCAGCTTGTTCATCAGTGATTATACCTCTTCTGTAGTCATTTCATAAATGGCTGAGTAGTAGGCCTAGACAATGGATATCTATATGTTATCCATAGAAGCAACCTTGAGAATAACGACGTCACCATTATACATGATTCTCAATCATGTGGTTCAGTCTCTCATATGAGTTCGGACCTTGATGAGACCTTGATTCCCTGGCTTGAGCTATCGCCCCATTAGTGTCATACACTTTCTGGTTGGAACCGAATAGAGAGTTCATAAATGAACTTTCCCATCCAAACAACATTGTTGTAAGCTTCTTTATAGCAATATATTTTGCATTCATAATGGAACACACTAAAGTCATTACTTTAATGTTTCCATCCAAATATCTCTTTAGTCATAATAAAGAGATATCCGTTTATCTCTTCATTCATAATGAAGAAACATCCAATGATGGATTAGATTCATAATCTAATACATTTACGCTTCCTTTACGTTACTCTAATTCTTCCTCGTTCTTTGAGGAATCTATCCTTTAGTATTTCTCAAATACTTAAGGATTCACTTGACAGTTGCCATGGTTTTGATCCTGGGCTTGCACTGATATCGTCTTGTACCGTTCTAGGTACAACTCATATCAATATTTTTCATACAATATGAAATACATAAATCACCTTTGTACGTATGCATAAAGGATTCTATTTACGCATTATTTATTTGGGAGTCAAAGAGTATGTTCTCTTTGAGAAGAGCAACTCCTTAGTCTTACTAGAGTTGTCCATTTGATTGAAGTTCATCATCATATGAGAAACTTCCTATCATCTTTTGTCTATTATTAGGGATTGATATAATCAAATTATATCTTGAAATCTATCAATATAGATTTCCATCCCATGTATATAGACCATGTCTCCCATATACATTCTATCGTTATAGAATGCTTAAAGTCATAACTTTAACGAAGAAATATTCTTTTCAATTCCAAAATTAATATATCATATATACATTCATATATATCACATATATATATTTATATATATATATATATAATATATATATATATATATATATATACAAATTTAGGAATATGATTAACTCCCACTAATCTTTTGTAAACCTAGTAAACAAAAGATTCATTTACATCTTTATGAGAAAGCAAACGATTTGACCTTTTTTCTCATAAGACGCTTATAGCTCCCACTAGCTTGCTAAGATCCATGATGGATGGATCTCTACAACTTACATGTCTTGTGATTTATAGTTTTAGACATATATTATCAAGACTATCTTAATAATGGTTTCGGAAACCTATATTATGTCCAAACATTGAATCACCATTTAGTTGTAGCTAGCAATCTTCGAATTAATTGAAACTAAGACTACGTCAAAAATGGTTCCTTCAAAGTCAACCATTCTCTTTTATTGTAGTCACCTTAAGCTACCAATTAGCTTATGAAGGTTTCATTATTTCGGGTTAAATGGTATTTTACCATTTCCTTGAGTATATATCATATATACACTCAATGTAGTCATAAGGATTTTCATTCTTATTTCTTTCGAATTAAGAGATGCAACTCTATGACATAGTCATAAAGTTCAAACCATTCAACTGAGACGGTTTATAAATCCTTATCGACTACCTTGGAGCTTTTGATATAGGAACTAGGTTGTTTATATTTGTTAATTACTTTCTTGTCTCTCTCAAAGAACCCATTCTTTGAGTTCTATCTCTCGTTTATTTGCTTTTAGGCAAATCACATTGTAGGATTACAATGAACTACCCAACAAAACAACATTTGTTAGTTGGTTTATAGAAGTGATATCCAAAAGTTAATTTAAGGATATCCCACAAGATTGTTATCAAACAAATATTGCTTATTAGCACACAACCCCAAATCTTAACATGTTTTAAGATTTGTCTTTTTTTCCAACTACATCTTATGGAGTCATGAAAATTTTGGAAGATCTTCTAATTGACAATCATATTGTCTTAGAAGTATATATCCTATATATGGGTAATTGATAATATCCAACGAACTGAATCTTATTTAAGTTCGTTCTTCTCCTTATGGAGAAATCTATTATCTTATTATGCTTATTTCTTTGATATCTTTCAAGGAAACTGTTCTAAGTGTTACCTTATCTTGGATCAAATCTAAGGAGGTAATTACTTTAGACGTCTTACTCATCAACTTACATTACTTGAATTCTTTGAAACATTTTGCAAAGTATTCGGACTTGTGTTTATTCAAAATAAACTATAGTCCAACCGAGAGTGATCTTTGGTGAATGTCATCCAACATGATCAGTATTATGTTGTGAACAAGTGCCACTAACATCTAAGTGAATTAACCTCAACAACTTTGTGATTCTTTCTTCTTTCCAAAAGAATAAAGATTCGAACATTTCGCCTCCATACAATTTTAATAAGAAGGTATTGGATCCGGATCTAACGATCCAATGCATCCATCTTTGACCAACTCGTAATTTATGTTTTAGAGGTATCACAACTTTAGTTAGGATTAGTCACTACCTTGCAACCTTTTTGGGTTTTAAGCATCATTTTATTCTAAACAGTTAATACCACCATATTATCTCTACTATAGAGACAATCAATTAGATTACTATAATCCAATCATTGATCAATTAGACTACTATAGAGACATGAATATGAGAACTCTTCGTTGATCGCGTTCAGTGAACTCATTCTCTACTGAGCACCTACGTACTTGTCTTGATGTCACACACACCAATGACTCGAGACTAGTCACTCTCCCTGAGAGAAGACATAGCACGTACCGATCTTGACGGACTGTCAATGCCCAATTGACAATCCTATGATCAGGAACATTTAGGATGTGTCTACGAAAGAATGGTCTCATGAATCTAACTTCATTAGATTGCATTCTCCCAATCACATATTCCTTGGACTTTATCGTTTAAGCATATAACATTTATATGAGACGGCTCAAACAATAATTTTTGCCCTTTATATTAAACTAGATTAGTTTAACATGTGAAATGTCCGTAAAGTATCATCATATGATTGGCTTTAGGGCACATTTCCAACAATGAGTTGTTAGAAACTTTTACCTAAATTGTATCTGATGGCTAAATGATTGACAAACAATGACTAGGTCTCATCTTTCATTCGTTCTTTTTTTTTTTTTTTTTTGGTTGGGTAAAAAATTACGTTTACGTTTTTTTTTAATTACTGTACATCATATGAGTCACGTAAAGAATAAGATAGAGTAATAAGAAATTTCGGTCATATAGGTAATGTGATGGATGAGAATGAGAGATAAAAAATATAATTTTATTAATGTAACAGTTATACAATGAGAGTGAGATAAGAGATAAGATATAATACCGAACAATTTTTTGTCAAACATATTATTCATGAGATAGAAAGATAAGATATAACTCAGATATTGTAAGAATCTCTTCTCAAAAACGACTTCAAAACTTTTACGTTGACTCAAATCTTGAGCTAATATGGCTGTGATCCGAGTCTACTGCTAGAGTTTAGCCAAAGATCAGTACTTTCGACCACATGGCTCGAGGGCCGGCCACCCAACAACTCTAAAAATGAACACAATAATACTTAGGTCCAACTTGATGGCCCTTCCCTAAATTCTCTGTTTCAAATTCTATGCTCAATCCACCAAATAAAGGAAAAATAAAGGAGACAACTCTTTGTTTGTTTTAAATACCTTTTGGTATGGTTAAATAGTTGTATTCCTAAATTCATTTGGAAGATGTATCCTTTTATTTTATTTCTAATTTTTTACACACTGAAATGCTTATGATTATTTGAAGCATTTTTAATAGTTGCAAAATGCTTATGATTATCTTAAAGCACTTTTAATAGTTGCGAAATGTGAGATCGGTAAATTTTTTTTGTCAATGATATAACTACATAAGTACCCAAGTATGACTTATAAACTAACATTTGTTCAAAGTTACAATTTTTCTTTTTGAGGGAATTCAAAGTTACAATTTTAAGGGTAAAGAAAACTTTCATCTCGAAAAACATTAGAGTGTACTGACCCAAAGTTTACTTATCGCACCATTAAATCTTAAAGATTTACAAGTTAAACACTTAAAATAGCTTAGTTTTACAGTTTTAGATAAAAAAAAAACTGAAAACGTTAAGCAACAAAAATAAACTTATTCTCATAGCAGAGCAATACCAAACCAGTCCTTAGTTTGATCTGGCATTTGGGTGGAGGTTTGACTTAAAATCCTTTTGCAAGGAGGACCAGTCAACTGAGAATCCTCTTTAGTTTGTCCAGTTCCATACGATATACCAATTTGTTTTTGTACTTAACCACATCATACGCGTTTTGAGCCCATTATTACAGTCAACAGCAAGAGCTGCCCTCCTTCCTTCGGCTCTTTGGTACAAAGAGGAAGAAGAAGAAGGCCAATCCCCACCAACTCTTTAGCCTAAAAAGCTAGCCGGCCAGCCAGCCAGAGAAAAACCCCAAAACAAAAAGCACTTTTGTATTTCAAATGATTCCCCCAACAAGCTAGAAAACACCAACAACGCCATCGATTTCTTCTTCTCTTCTTTCTCATCGCCACTGAAGGACAAAGCCGCTTCTCTCTCTATGGAATCCTCTGCGGCGGAGGAAAGAATCTCCAGCTCCACCGCTCTGACCACCACTCTCTCCAACTCAATCCAAGCTTTGGGTCGCGGCTTTGACGTCACTTCCGATATCAGGCTTCTCTACTGCAAAGGGGCACCCGGATCGAGGCTCGTGATTCTGGAGGAGGATCAGGGGAAAGATCTTGTTTTTTCTGATGGGGTTGTTGTGCCAAATGTGCCTGTCGACGTCGAGTTCGCGCCGGGGAAGAGGACCATTGACAAAATTCATGTCTGCAGCTTCCATGAGGTGATTTTTCATCCAATTTTGGTTGATGGGTTTTTGTATTTTGTGAGTTTGGATTTGGATTCTGTGATTATTTTATTGTATTAATGTTTTCAGAAGCTTCAGTTCAGTATTGGACCTGCTGGGTTTGAATTTTCTTGGTTTGTTTTGGCTGAGTACAGAAAGTTATAATCTTGGTTTATTTTAAGTTGGATAATGTTGCTTTGCTGGGTTTTTTATGGTTCTGGGATTGATTTGTTTGCGAAATCGTTGGTTCCGATATCGTAATTCATGTTTTTGTGCTCTGTTGGATTTCTGGGAGTTGGTTAAATTGCATGACCGTACATTGGTTGCTTAAAGTTATTCAATTTTGTTTGTCATTCAATTGCTCTTGTGTTGCGTGGTTTGAAAGTTCGAAATGATAATGTCTTTCTCTTCTTCCGGGCTTTTGAGTTGTTTTTCTCCATATATGATATATTCTCGTAGGTAAGATAAACCCTTATTTTCTGTAAGCATTATAGGTTAGGTTGTCTTGAATTGTTTTGTGATATGCAGAGAATAGATTACTCATCTCTTACGGAACAATGCACTATGAGCTCGTTACGCTAACGTTCTAGTGAATGTTTATTTTCCTTCACAAGCAGCAAATTAATCGTATGGGATATTTCAGTGTTGGTTTTATATTTTGGTTCTGGATTGTACAGTGGTTACTAGCCAGTGTAATTAGTCAATTTACCACGCAAAACATGAAGAAAACTGGGAAAATATAGCATATCAGACAACAGATAGATGGCTAAATAAAGAAATCTGGCATTAGGTAATTGTTTGAGTTCAACTGTTCGCAGAGTTTGCTAAACTATTCGGTGCATTAGAGAATAATTTTACTGAGAACATGCTTACACATAAAGTTTATTTGGTTACTATAATCCCCAAAAAGCTTGAGCAGTTAGGATGTGAGCAAGCTGTTAATATATATTCTAACACTAGCTAACTTTAGATCCACAGTTTCTTAAATTACATTTTCTCTTTGGAATATATCGTCCCAGTTATGGAATCTCCTGCTACTTGGTCAGGATTTGGTGCAAGCATTTGGATTTCCACTTTCTTCACCTAATTACAGAAAAACATTTTACCTTGTTGTTATACGACATCTTTTGTGACCCTATGGCTTTGATGCTTGAAATTTCAGATGGCAGAATACTTCAACAAGAAATCGGGTATTTCAGGGCGTGTTCCCCTTGGAAGCTTCAATGCCATGTTCAATTTCACTGGTTCTTGGCAAGTTGATGCAGCAGCAACCAAATCCCTTGCCATGATTGGATACTTCATTCCCCTATACAAAGTTAAACTAGAAAAGGATAATTTAGTTTTGCATGAGGAAATTAAGCGTGCTGTTCCGTACTCATGGGATCCTGCAGCCTTAGCAAGGTAAGCAACTAAATATGATACATAAACATGAATCTGTGTGTTTTTCAATTATAATCCTCTCAGTAAAAAATCAATTATCAACAAAGTTGATAGGCTAATACCTACAACTCATTTCCTGTCTATACCTTAAACTAATAGATCTTCTGGAGGCAACTTGGCAGTACCTGATTACTCAGTCTAATGCTACTTTCTGTCATATTCTGTTTCCTACTTTGATCAGTGGGTTATAAAATACAACTAAAGAGCTCGGTGAAAAATTGAATGATTAACTATTAGACCTTTGTATGCTCAAAGACAAACTAATGGCGAGATACTTGATTCAAAATGGTCTAGATATGTACTTAAAGATGCTAGTAACTGTTATTGAAACTAAACTTGATATGCACTAACAAGAAGGATAATCAATCAAATTTCCTTAAGTTGGGCAGTGCTTATAGTTACATGGCGCCCCATCAATTCATATCGAAATTTAAATTCAAAATGCTCCAAACTGCATTGTTTGATGATGCATACTGCATTGTGTTTCTGTGTTAAGGTTACTAGATCTGTTGGTCTGTAAAACACCAGATTTTTTATACAGAATTTTCTTCTTCTTCTTTCTCCTCTTGTTCATTTTTTAGTTTTATTGAGAGTTATGGTACCCATATCGTCACATCTGCAACTATTGGCGGAAGAGATGTAGTTTATATCAGGCAGCACCAGTCATCTCCTTTGTCAGCAGGGGACATTGAGGATTATGTGAAAGACATTGGTGATCATAGGTTTGTGGACTCAAAAAGCCAGTCAAATCCAGGCCCATTAAAATACAAGGATAAGGTTTGTGTCATAGGCATATTTTTTCTTTTTTGTTGCATGTGGTTTTGCCAAGGAATTCAATCTGGCTATCACTGTTTCATCTAAAAGTCTCACGAAACTTTTCAGTCATTCTTGAAATAATTCTTGAGGAAATGGATTTGTGTGTGAATATTCTTAATTTTGTGTCCTCCTTCAGGATGTTACAGTCATATTCAGGAGAAGAGGGGGTGATGATCTTGAGCAGAGTCATCCCAAGTGGGCCGAAACTGTACAACTAGCACCAGATGTGATTAACATGACATTTACACCCATTGTCTCTTTGCTTGAAGGAGTGCCTGGAATAAAGCACTTGAGTCGCGCGATTGAGTTATATTTAGAGTGTAAGAACTAATACAAAAAGCATTTCGTTAAAAATGTGACTTTTATTTCAATCTGATGACAGATAAATCATTGCAATTATGGTTGGTTTGAATTGTGTGTCTAGAACCCGAAACTTTGTTATATAGTTAGAAGCATGCTTCTCTATCTATTCAGGTCTCGGAGGTGTTTTTAACATTTATTATATGTTTGTCATTGTTTATACCAGACAAGCCACCAATTGAAGATCTGCAGTATTTCTTGGATTTTCAAATTGCTCAAGTTTGGGCCCCGGAGCATAATAATCTTCAAAGAAAAGAACCTGTGTGTTCATCGCTTCAGTTCAGCTTGATGGGACCGAAGCTTTACATCAGTCCGGATCAGGTACTTTTGTTGGTTCTCATTAGTTCTTTGATGACTATTATTATTAAATTATTGTGTGGGAAAAAAATGATGCTTTCATTTCCTTGTATTCGTAGTTTTCCACTTCCACCTCACCTTAACTTAAAAGTTTCTTGACACTGCAGGTAACAGTAGGCCGTAAGCCTGTCACAGGGCTTAGACTAAATCTAGAAGGCATCAAACAGAACCGACTGGCTATACATTTGCAACATCTAGTGTCCCTTCCAAAAATTCTTCAACCCCATTGGGATGCGCACATGGCAATAGGTGCACCCAAGTGGCAAGGTCCGGAGGAGCAAGACAGCCGTTGGTTTGAGCCAATCAAGTGGAAAAACTTCTCCCATGTAAGCACCGCACCGATAGAGCACGTGGAGGCTTCTATTGGTGACCTCTCCGGTGTTCACATTGTCACAGGGGCTCAGCTTGGTGTTTGGGATTTTGGTGCCAAAAATGTATTGCACCTCAAACTTCTCTTCTCCAAAGTACCAGGCTGCACTATCAGGCGGTCTGTTTGGGATCACAGCCCAGCCACCCCGTCTTCTGCACAGAGGACGGATGGTTCTTCTTCATCGCATTTGAACAACAGAAGCTCTGACGATAAAAAGGAAAAACTAGCAAAACTAGTGGACTTGACGGAAATGTCAAAGGGACCGCAAGATATACCAGGTCATTGGTTAGTCACTGGGGCTAAGCTTGGAGTCGACAAGGGAAAGATTGTATTGCGCGTAAAATATTCCTTGCTGAACTACTGATCTTCGGCCTTTCCCCCCCCCCCCCCAGTAATTGTAGGCTTTTCCACTAAAATTTGATAGTCCAACATTCTTTGCACAGGCAACCCTTGTTCTGTACATTTTCTTCTTTTTGTGTCTTAGCTATCTTCTAGTGACATCCTTATTTGTCTGAGGGGTTTTCTTCTAGAATCGGTTGAGAAGACAACGTATGTTTCTGAATAATTATATACTATTTTTACGTAATATATGAAGTACTTTTTTCAGTGACATCAACCCTTGCGTATGATTGTTGACTAGAGAGCTTGCATGTATGTATCGTTGGACGAGAGAGTTAATACTTTAGAAATTGAGGGTATAATATTGCATTGTATTAATATTCATATCTCTTTAGAAAACTTAAAGTTCTTTGATTGCTTATAAAGTTTGCATGCACGTATTTATATGTTTTTCAATCCCATCATGAACAGTTTCACTATCATACATATTACACATTTGACTTTCTGAGTATAAAGCATCTCCACTCGGAAATATTTTTTTAGTCTAACAGGTGTTACTAATTCAGTTACTGTGATATTGTCGGACGAGAAAGTTTATATTTCATGAATTGAAGGTATAATATTGTAGTGTGACCGTCATGTTGGAAAAAATACTATTCATATAACTCTTTAGAAAACTTGAAAGGGAAGTTCTTTGATTGCTTGTGTGCAATGGGACAATATATAGTAACCATTAACCACAGCCTAGTGATTGAAACTATGTACTTAAGAAAACTTCTTTGCTTGTGAAATATGCAAGTTGTTGCACTTCATGAGACAATAGTTGACTCAGCCTTAGTGAATAAAACTGTCATGCATTTACTTATTTCACTTTTAAATTTGTCTGCTTTTACAGTACCGTACAAGCATCAAAGATGCTAAACCAGAATTAATCCACCTTAAAGAGAAAAGAAATAAATCAGTCACTTATACTAACCTGTACTTAACAGTAGTCCTTCAACACAATTTTATTAACACAATTTTATTAACACAATTGGATGTTAGTTTGTAATCTCAATAACAGTTTTTATGCCGTATGGGAAAATTATTGTCTGCTCCAACATACGACGTTGACATGAATCTAACAGTTGTATGAGAAATTGCATCAGAAATTTCTTACCAAATGAACGAAATTGCAGAAATTATCTGGTGTGGTGTGGACCAAGCCTCAATGTTACTCCAGTGGCGAAAAAACTACTTTATAATGTCTTCGTGATTAAACGAGTTATTAATCTCATCTCAGTCCAAATAGATCTTTCCGTCTAAAATATGTCCAGGTTTTTTTCCATGTATGTCATATGCATGGGTGAAAGGGTCCTTTTAGGACATGAAACTGGTTTAACCGCGGTGGTCGAAATTGATAGCGGGTTTAACCGCAGGCGATGTTATCGAGAGTTTTTTTCATACAACGTACGTAAATTGACATATGACCTACGCTACAGGAATCATTGGAGCAGAGCCATTAAATATTCTAGCTCTGGGGAGACGAGCACGCAAAGTTGCTATGCGTGAGATTATATGAGATTATGCAGCCCCACATATGACTTAATCATCCTCACCATCATACGTTAATCAAAGTATTAAACAGTGTTTAACGTCTAATCTTTTATTATAATACGTGAACCATTGAGATATGTTTGTTCTATCTGTCAGATGTCTGTTTTGACCATTCTTCAATGGAAAGGGATCATATCCGGATCCCTTCCTCATAGTCCATAAAATTAGAAGATCTATACGGTTAAAATTTGATTCAACGGTTGAAGTTATTATAATTTTTAAAGTGAGCCCTTGTTTGTAGCTGTTGGATCAAATTTCAACGATACAGATTTCCTGATTTTGTGGATTAGGAGGAAGGATCCAGAGAGGATCCCTTTCCTTCTCCAATAAGAACATGCAAGTCCTTTTTAATGCTAAGCCCCACACTTGTATAGTCTGACAATTTGCACTGATTAAAGGGTTTCTAATTAGATTTCACTAATCATGTTTACGTGGAAACTATGATGCTCTTGATGTGGATGATTAATTTGCTGCAAGAAAGAGGCAGATAGTAGTGTCCAAAAACAAGGATTCTCCAACAGCAAGTGTCTAGATGCTTTTGGACTTGGGTGAAATGCAAGATACTTCTTCCTGTAATGTTTATTTTGTGAATTTTTTTCTAGAATTAGAACTTGAACGTACCCCTAATATTTTGGTTGCACTCAATCCCTTGTTGGATACTTTCTCCATATGCATCTACTCATTTGTTTTACCTTTCTTTCTTCGTTGACAAGGAATTACGAACCCGGCAATATAGAAATTTAGGGTATAGTGATTTATACATTCTTATTTTCTTCCTATGCAACTCTTCATGTTTTTCTTGTCTTTAAATCGAACAAATTAGAGGAGAGTCTAGAAACAAAAAAGAAATAAAGTGAAAAAGGCGAAAACAGAGTCTGAAAATAACTGCCATAATTCTTGTTTCCATCCAACAAGATCCTCTCTGGATCCTTTGGTGAGAATTCTAGGGATCCGTAAATTGTGTTCGTTCATCGTACATCGTGCGGTCAATTTTTGCAAGTACTGTTTATGTTTATTTTTAAATAAAAATATTAAAAATAATTTCTGACTGCACGATGTACGATGAACGTGCATGATTTACAGATCTTCGGGATCCTCATAAAGAGGATCCAGACTCTTTTTCCATGACACTACCAGTATCTCTACTAATTAATAAAACACTCATTGTCAACCAAAACCCTATAAAATTACAAGTTTAACCCTCTAATTAAAATATAACATGAATAAAAAATATGAGGCAGAAATATAATTTCACACAACCAAATTTTGTTTTTTTTTTAAAAGTCTCACCTACATGTACTCCTAACATATATCTAATTAAATAAACAAAAAAAAAAGAACTTCCCACCCCCACATTCTCTATCACTCTCTTCCTCTCTCCTTCTATTTCAAAAACAAAATTAATAAATTTTCTCACACACTTTGTATATGCCCATATGCTAGTTTAAACAATGAAAACTCTGGCAAAAAAGTTGCTTAGGCTTTTGGAGTGTTGCATGCCCGTCAGGGCTATCATGTTTTAATCCACGCAAAAATTGAAAACTCAATATTTTATAAAGGATAATATTAGGAAGATTAAATTTTGTAAATCAAATGATGTGTCTTTAATAAGAAACAAGTATGTTAATCGACATTAATTAATAATTTAATTATCTACAACCACATGATTTGATTTTAAATTTTTGATGTTTCTAGCATTATTCTTTTATAAAAGAGGACGAGGATTAAATGTTCTTTATTGTGAATAAATACGTCATCATTTGAGCTAAAAATTTCATTGTCCACTTCATGATACCAAGAAAAAACAAAAATTAGCATATTTTATTTTTTAGCAGTAAATGCTACCTTATTCATATATGTTTCCTCTTGGACAATCTGGACATGTCTTGGGAATCTTACTCATGAAGGTCGGCTTATAGCAAGGAGATATTTGTCGATTTTTCCTCAAATTTATAAGGACGGTCAAATTTTATCATGAATTTTAGTTTTATCAATTATTCGTTGAATTTTATAATTGGCAAATTTTCGTTTGAATTTTAATTTTATAATTATAAAAAGGTAATTTTATCCCTAATTTTAAAGGGCATTATGGGCATCACAAATGGTTGTTACGTACACAACTTCCATTAAGTCCCCAAGTCCACCTGTGTCAAGTTCTTATATATACAAACCTCAGTTTCCATTAGGCGCTACTCATCCATTTTCTAAAATTCATATCATCATCTCTTCTCTTTAGTACCAGAGAGAGAATCACTGCATCCTCGTAGCTAGCTATGGTAAATTTAACAAATTAATGAACACATATGATCTTAATTATATTTCTTTCGAATTCCATCTTGTTATTTATATTCTCTTTGATTTATTAACCTGCAGGACAAATTTGAGCTTGTTGAAGGGAAGGTTGATTGGAAGGGAAGGTCAGCTGTGAAATATAAACATGGAGGAATGAAAACTGCTGTGCTCATACTAGGTACTCTTTAGTACACATATCCTATACATAATAACTTTCTTTTTCTTCTAAAAAAACCATATTCCAAACTGGTCTAATGTACGATAAGAAGAATTCTGGCGTGAGAGGGGGGACACCCTGTCTTAACTAACTAGCATAATCTACATATGCTTACATGATCACCATAAATGCATAATATCTAATCCTTGACTAATTTACCATTTTGAGTGTTGTTTTTACATGTTGCAGGTACCTTGGCTTTTGAGAGCATGGCAAGTCTTGCCCTGGCTGTGAACATGGTTACCTACTTCAATGAGGTCATGCACTTTGAGCTAGCAGATGCAGCTAACGAACTCACCAACTACATGGGAACTGGCTTTATTCTGTCCATTCTCATGGCCATCCTTGCAGACACCTTCTTTGGCAGATTCAAAATTCTTCTTATTTCCGGGTGCTTCGAGTTTGTGGTATGCACAAAATACTCAAATTACTCACATAAATCGCAAAAAATGCACAAATATAACGAGTTATGAACCTTTAATGAAATAGAACCGGATGGATGCTAAATAGACAATAAAATGGCTCTAAATTGTGTTGGATACAACTTATTGTCTGTTCAATGACCCTCGATTTTATTTTTCAATTCAAAATTTGTAAACAGTTCTATTTGTGTATAATTTGCAATTCAATAGTTTTTTTATGCATACACGTGTTGTAAATTTTCATTTTAGGGACTAGCACTAATGACTGTGCAAGCTCACTACCCTAAACTCAGGCCACCAGTCTGCAATGTCTTTGATCCAACTGCTAAATGTGAGAAAGTTGAAGGTGGAAATGCTGCCCTTCTTTTTATTGCTCTCTACACGATGGCGGCCGCCGCTGCCGGGCTGAAGGCCACGTTGCCATCACACGGTGCCGATCAATTTGACGAATCGGACCCGAGAGAGACAGGGCAGATGTCTAGCTTCTTCAACTTTCTGTTGCTATCTGTGTGCTTGGGTGGTGTAGTCAGTTTAACCCTAATTGTGTGGGTTCAAGACAATAAAGGATGGGATTGGGGATTTGGGCTCTGTACCTTCGCCATGTTCTTGGGCGTGGTTATCTTTCTTGCAGGATTGCCGGTGTATCGGATACAAGTTCTCAGAGGAACTAGTGCCATAGTTGAAATTATACAGGTTTGTTTTTTTTGTCATCCCTTTAAACACTAGTTCCAAGCCTGTTTTTCTTTTCTCAAATTTTTTTTTTTTTTTTTTTTGGCTTCATGCAAGCGAATACTAAGGTGGGGGAAATCAAAAACAAAATTTGGTGTAAAAACCTTACTAAGTCACTACGTATATACTTCTCTTTCCGATTGGTGTTTATAATTAGTAAGAGGCCGGTAAAAGGAAGATTCTTAACGACTGCTTCCAAACATACTCAGTTTGTTAAGATCAAACGTTAATCACAACTAGCTGACTTGTTGCTCATGTCCGTTTCAGGTGTATGTTGCAGCCATCCGTAACAGAAATCTTAGCCTTCCAGAAGACGCCACAGAATTGTATGAGATTAGCAAAGACAAGGAAGATTCTCTTGAACAAGAATTCCTACCTCACAGACCCATTTTCAGGTACCTTTTAAATTTTTACTAAAACATAAGATCTTCACCCTTGAAAGGACACCAATTGTGAAGCTTCACCTTCACTACTAACTTCCAGATATCTGATATGTTATGTTATCGGTTGAACTGGATTAGGACCAAGCATTCAGTCAAATTTAAACCTAATCTACAATTCTCATTCAGTCTCACAATAAAACATGTTACATGCCAACTTGTTTGGTAACACATAATTGAATTTATATTCCCGTCATAAGAAAACTTCTTGTTATTTGTTCCTTGCCTAACACGTAATTAAATTTCTATTCAGGTTTTTGGACAAAGCATCCATCCAAAGAGGGGAAGTTGATGAACAGCAGCCTCCAAACCCATGGAAACTTTGCAGAGTCACACAAGTGGAAAATGCAAAAATCCTCCTAGGCTTGGTCCCAATATTTTGCTGCACAATTATAATGACTCTATGCCTGGCACAGCTCCAAACCTTCTCAATCCAACAAGCTCTCACCATGGACACAAGCATCACCAAGCATTTCAAAATCCCACCAGCCTCACTCCCCATCATCCCCCTGGTCTTCCTCATCATCATAATTCCTGTCTACGACCGTGTCTTCGTCCCCATTGCAAGTAAGTTCACCGGTATACCCTCTGGCATAACGCACTTGCAGCGCATAGGAGTAGGGTTAGTTCTCTCATGTGTTTCCATGGGTGTGGCTGGAATCATGGAAGTGAAAAGAAAAGATGTGGCAAGAGAGCACAACATGCTGTTGGCAAGGCCGGTCCTGCAGCCATTGCCAATCAGCACATTCTGGTTGTCTTTCCAGTACTTCATTTTTGGAATAGCCGACATGTTCACTTACGTGGGGCTTCTTGAGTTTTTCTACTCGGAGGCTCCCAAAGGGTTGAAATCAATTTCAACTTGCTTTTTGTGGAGCTCCATGGCACTAGGGTATTTCTTCAGCACCATTTTGGTTAAGATTGTGAACAATGCAACAAAAGGTAACACAAAAAGTGGAGGCTGGTTGGCTGGGAACAACATTAACTTGAACCATTTGAATCTTTTCTATTGGTTGCTTTCATTGATGAGCTTGATCAACTTCTTCATCTATGTGTTTGTTACAAAGAGGTACAAGTATAGGCCCGGGAGCCCCATGCTAGTTTCAAAGAAGAACAAGGAAATTGAGGTTAACGAGTTCTGAGAGGATTCAAAAAAAGAAGGAAAAAAAAAGAAAAAAAAAGAATAGCAGCTATTATATACATGTGGTTTATTGTAACGTGTGAAAATTGGATAATACATCTTCAATAAGAAATGCTAAGGAGACTCTCAAGATTGAAAAAAATTACACAAGGTACTTTCTGTTGCATCTGATTTGAATGGGAGGAAAATCAATGGTCATAATTAATCTACGGTAAAAATTGAAAAAAAAAAGGAATTCTTTTATTATTCCATTAATACTCAACCATCTTGTTCATTCCCAACACCACACCATACCATACCACAACTCAACATCTATTTTTACTACAATCTCGTATTTTTATTTTTCACTCTTCATATTTTTTAACAAATAAAAAAAAAAAGTGAAAAGGCAAATGAGTGTTGGGTGTGTGTTTCTCATGACCCGGTCATGGGAAATGAGATGACAGAAAAAAAAATGTGGAAGAATATTCATGCACACTTTGTCGATAATTCATGCACAATTCGACGATGCAAAAGATTAAAAAATCCTTGCCTATTCAGAGTTGCACAAATACAAATATTATTTCGAGTGAATGATAAAGACATTTTACGTGCCCTTACTTGCATCTATCCTCCTAAAACGAATGGAATTGCTCTTGGATCGCAGGCCAGGCCGATAGCGGTAACGGACCCATTAAATGTACCTGGATCGTGGCCATTTGTTAGGGGCATGAACATTCGTGCCCTTTTAGATCAAAGAGCACATATAACGTTTGTGACTTTCCACGGGTATCCTTAGAGCACTTTCACTCCTAACAAATGTGCTAGCTCAAAGTCTATTTTTCAGGCCAGCTCCCCCTCCCTAAAAACCCACTCCACCCCACCCAATAGGCTGGCCCAAAGTAGAGGCCAGCTTTGAGCCCATCACATAATGAACTGAGCAAGAGACTGGCCTACATAACACCAGACTAACATTAACCATGTGAATTTCTTTTTTTTGCCGTTGGCATGTGGGATACACGTGTGTGTGAGTGCGCGTTCCAGTATTAAAAAAAATGTTAGAATCTTACGGCGGGCCATGTGTTCACTTTTAGGCTATTGGATTTAATCCGTTTTTGAAATCCAATGGTCCAGATTAATTAACTTAATAAAATATTATAAAAAATGTTTAAAAATACAAAAAAATTATATATATATATATATAAATACGAATTGACTAGACTCCTTGCCTAGCTTATTTTTTAGAAATGGAAATACACTTGATCAATTACTGTTCATTGGAGTTATTACAACTTATTTGAGTGAATTAAATGAACTTTAGGCCAAATTCATTTTTTAGAGGAAGAATTGCTCTTGTAGGGCCGTTTTTAATACGACCCACGCTTGTTTAAGGTCAGCCTAGCACGACTCAACCCGAAGACAACCTATCTTTTTGGATTGCATCAGACCAGACCGGACCGGACAAACCGAATCAAAGATTCTGACCCAACACAAGTACCAAACGAACTGTACAGATGTCAGTGTTGCTCCACTCTTTAAGCTCACCTCAATATACTTAGAAGCCACCAAAGCAACCTAGTACTCAATCTTCCACATTTGGCAGCCTTAACTCACAAGCCTCAGCCACCTCACTCCTCCCCATGCAACGTGCAGTTCCACGTGGAAGCCTCCCAAAACACCCACGTATGTTCCCATCCACTTATTTATTCCTCCTCCCTCTGAACTCTGGTTATTATTAGCAGTCATACACACAGACTAGACTGTACATTTGAGATCCGAAGCAAGACACAGCGTCGTTTTGAGATGGCTTCAAGTGACAAGACACCGACTCCTAACCCCGCCTCCAGGCTGGGAGATCAGCCAACGCCTCCGGGGAAGCCAATGACGATGGGACAGCACGTCCTGGACAAGGGCGCCGAGATGATGCAGTCCCTCAAGCCGGTGAACCAGATGAGCCAGCACGTGTGCACTTTTGCGCTCTACAGCCACGACATGACTCGTCAGATCGAGACCCACCACTACGTCACTCGCCTCAACCAGGACTTCCTCCAGTGCGCCGTCTACGACTCCGACGACTCCCACGGCCGCCTAATCGGTAAGATAATTGACAAGTAACAATCCAATTAAAACCAAGCCAATTCGTTTTCGGATTTCTTCTTTTGTTTTCTTTTGGTCGATTAGGGTTAACTAAGGCTTAATTTGCAATTTTGTCATATTTGTGCAGGTGTAGAATATATTGTGTCTGATAAGATATTTGAGTCGCTGCCTCCGGATGAGCAAAAGCTTTGGCATTCGCATGCTTACGAGATCAAAGCCGGCCTCTGGGTCAATCCTCGGATCCCCGAGATGATTGGCCAACCTGAGCTCCAGAATTTGGCCAAAACTTACGGAAAATTCTGGTGTACATGGCAAGTTGACCGAGGTAAGTCATAAGATAACGCCGGTTGGCACATGTGCAAAACTTAGGGCACTTGTGTTCATAAGCGTTTGAGGTAGAATAACTTTATGTATAGAAAGAATCGGTAGAGGGTTTTTTTCTTCTAAAAATTAAATTAGTTACTTTGATTTGTTACTAATGACATTGTGGGTTGTTACAATTAGGTGACCGACTTCCACTGGGAGCACCGGCCCTTATGATGTCACCTCAGCCGGTGAATTTGGGTATGGTGAAGCCGGAGCTGTTGGAAACGAGGGATGCCAAATACAACATATCAACGGATGCCTTGAAGACATCGAGGGTGGAGATTGCGGAGCCAGAGTGGATCAATCCGCAGGCGGACTACTGGAAGCTGCATGGCAAGGGTTTTGCGGTGGACATTAAGCAAACTGAAATGAAGAAAAGCACACCCTTTCCTTAGACGAGCATGCATGGTTTTAGTATGGATAACTAGAAGAGTACCACCATGAATAAAGAACAAAATGTGTACATGCTTCCTTTGGTTTTAGTATAGATAGTTAAAAGAGTACCGCCATAAATAAAAGAACAAAAAGTGTGTGTGCTGCCTGGCTTTTGTATGTACAAACTGTGGATCTGTGGTTTGGCTCTTTTGGGTTGTGTCTGGCTTGCTGTTCTTATCTATACATTGAAGTTCCTGTGCATTAATATTTTCGGCCTCTACAGTGTTCGATCATGTTATATATCTTCAACGATCATCCTACCACTATGTACACTTCCTCTTTATTTCTAGCAAACAAAATGAAAACAAGAAAGTAGAAACAAAAGCCAAACGGGCTTTAGGCCCTTTTGCTAACTATTTGATTTTTTTATATGTAGTTTTTCTTTTGTTGAAATATGGGAAATATGAAAGGGAATGGAGGAGGAAGGAGAGTGGTGGGATTTTATATTTTCAGTTTTTACTGCTTGATTTATTTTTTTATTTTTTATTTTTTGTCAAACGATAGATTTGTTATATTAGATGTTAAATTAGGAACCAACAAGATTCGAATTTACATCGTGGTGCAAGTGAAACATTTCTTTTTCATGTGTTGTTTTTTTTTTTTTTGGTACACTTCTATATCTCTCCTACTCACTTTCTTCACCGTTTCTTTCTTGGGCTGGAAGTGCTCTCATCTTATGTGTCACTAATATGTAATGATAGATGCTGTTTAGACTAAATTTACAAATTAAGCATATAATGTCTCATAAATAAAAAATAAATACGTTAATTAATACTTAAGTAATCATCTAATTATCAATAACCACGTTAGATAGTTACAAAATTTAATTTAAAAGTTGGTCTCTCTAGCATTATATGTAGCATCTCACATCGACCAACGGAGAAAGGGTGATGTGCCTTATATGTACATGCCCATCTCCTATAGCACGAGGCCTTTTGGGAACTCACTGACTTCAGATTCTATCGAAACTCCGAAGTTAAGCGAGTTTGGGCGAGAGCATTCCTAGGATGGGTAACCCACTGGGAAGTTCTCGTCTGAGTTCCCAAAAACAAAACCATGAGGGTGTGGCCGGGGCCCAAAGCGGACAATATCGTGCTATGGCGGAGCTGAGATTGGGATGTGACATAATGGTACCAGAGCCACTGAAACACGTCAACCCCATTTATTTTAAAATAATTGTTTGGACCTAAATTGGTGAGCCAAGGGCCCACCCCTTTTATTTTGTCCCTCGGTCTCTCTCCTCTCTGCCCTTCCTTGTGTTCTCCCCCTTCTCTCTCTCTCTAAGTCTTCTCTTCCTCACTACCTAATCTCTCACCTTTTGACCCACACCCGAGAGCACCCACACCTGTAACTACTCTACTCGAGAACATCATCATCATCATCAAGCATTGTTCTGGTCTCTCTTCCGTAGCAGCGAGATTGGTGAAAGCAGAGAAAATGACCTCCGACGAGTTTTTCTAATTTTTCCGGTTAGGTAAGGTTGGATCCTTTTTTTTTTAAATCGCCATTGATGATGTTGGACGTTGTGTGCTGAGATTTACATTGTTTTCCCAAGGTTTTGAAGACGGGAACATCGCGGGGGAAGCTCACCCCATTTTTCCGACGAACCCATGAGTTTCGAGGGAATTTCCGGTCACCTCCGGCCGTGTCACGACTATTTGAGGGTAGCAATCTCTTCCCCTCATCTTGCTCTTCATTTTGGTAGTTAGATCGAGGTCTAAAACCCCTGTTTATCGTCGGCCGGAGCTGTAGCAACTCTGGTGTTCTTCCTCGATTAGCACCCAGGCCTTTCAGGCCGTTTAGGACACCCACGGGCCTTGGGTTGTAGACCAAGCCCAGCCCTTTTGGTTATTAGGCCTGCAGGCCGTGCTTTGGGAGTGTGTGTGTGTGTGTGTGTGTGTGTGTGTGTGTGTCCGTGTAGTATGTGTGTTGTATGCATATGTCGTGTGTGTGTATGTATATTTAGTGTGTGTAATTGCATGAGTGCATACGTGTGGTGTGTGTGTGTGTGTGTGTGTGTGTGTGTGTGTGTGTGTGTATGCATGTCGTGCATGTCGTGCATGTGTGTGTGTTTGTGTAGTGTATGTGTGTGTTGGTTGTGTGGCCCAAATCACCCTTTTAACCTAAAAACCGAAGGATCCTAAAACCTATTAGGGCCTAACCCATCCAACCCAAATCCTTTCATTTTATTTAATTCAAGCCCAAATCCTTTGGAAACCCTTTTATTCATTTATTACCTTTTTGTGCTTAGGTGAAATTGCTAGTGAGGGAATTGGTAATCCTTATCCACACAACTCTACTGCTACGAAGTATCTGTGAGTGGACCCCTTCTAAAATTACATGATTTTATGGTTTAATTGCATAAATGAATAGCATGCCTTACGAGTTTATGATTTGATTTATGAGAAGCATGTTTATTGAATATGTTGATTTTCGTCTCGTGTTTTTGGTGAGGAATTAATTATTAGCCTATATTGAGCTATATTTTGATATATCGTATTTTCTATAAAAACCATGAACTGGTAGACTATCTGATGGATGACGATAGGATGCTAGAACATGTTTTCGAAACCCCTCTTTATAGTATAGACGATGGATGACTTTATACTATGAAGTGGTTATTTTGAGAGGCGTAACTAGTGGACACTATGCCGCCTGGGGCGAGGATCTGGTGTTGGTAGTTAGGCCGGGAGAAATAATCCCTAGCGAAAGGCTGAGGGACACGGAGACATGCATTGGGCCGGGAGGAAGTTATCTCTGGCTACGGGCACAAAGACTTAGGTGCAGGCATTGGCCCGGGAGTATTATTATTTAGTGATCTTACTAGTAGCACACTGCATTTACGAGACGATCTACGAGACGATACATGCGATGATTTATGTGGTGTTTTCCACGTTATACCTCTTGAGATGTTCTATGGCATGCTAGTGTTTCTTAAAAGCTATCACTTATTATGTTAGTAGTTTTCATTATATATATATAAACTGTGGGGGTTAGTATGTTCATAACTGTTTTAGTATTATTTATGTATTGAAATTGGTCCACTCACATTTGTTTTGCGCCCCCATTCAGGACTTAGAATCAAGGCACATAGTCCCAGCGTCAAGACACTTCCGCAGCAGCATCTTCGAATCCTCTCGATGTAGGACTCACTTATTTATTCATTCAATTTTATCTTAATTCTTTTTAGTGATTATGTTTAGTTGTATGCTCTGAACCCGTTCCTAAATTGTTAATTCATTGTATTTAAATTCATAACCCGTATTTATTTCTTATTCTTAGCTTTTATATCAATTAATGGCTTTCGTCACCCTCGAGTGTCGGTCAGCACGTGTCTATCCTGGTATTCGGGGAATATTAGGGTCGGGGCGTGTCAGCCACTCTGCCGTGTGGTGCGAGTGTGTCGACGAGGACGTCGGGCCTCTAAGAGGGTGGATTGTAACATCCCACATTGACCAATGGAAATGGGGTGATGTGCCTTATATGTACATGCTCACCTCCTATAGCACGAGGCTTTTTGGGAACTTACTGGCTTCGGATTCCATCGGAACTCCGAAGTTAAGCGAGTTTGGGTGAGAGCATTCCTAGGATGGGTGACCCACTAGGAAGTTCTCGTCTGAGTTCCTAGAAACAAAATCGTGAGTATGTGGCCGGGGCCCAAAGCGGACAATATCGTGCTACGGCAGAGCTGAAACTGGGATGTGACATTACATTTGCACTAAAGAATAAGAAAAATAAATCGACTACGAACTCGCCATTTGAAATTAAAATCTCTCGTACAGGTAAAAGAAAAATATCATTAGTATTAACAATACTAAGTGGATACACCTCAAAGTCTTTCTTTATATTTTTAAATCTAATGTCTACCAAAACGCTTTACTCTAAACCATTATTAATGTTTGGACGTTTGAAAATTAAGAAATGACACTTAGACCTGCTGAGGCGTTCGCCTAGACCGCCTAGACCCGCCTAGGTTGCGACTCACTTAGACAAAAAATAAATAACTTTCATTTTGCATTTTATTTTTTTCAATAAATTGTAAAATACTTGTTGAATACTTAAACAAACAGACATTATATGCTTGTTCCCCATGTTTTCATTTTTTCCAATATTTCATAATTTATATGTCATTTTATTTTGTAGTTTATAATGTAATTATATATATATTAAGTATAAAAAGATACTTATTTACACGAAATATAATAGATTTACTTAAATTCGCTAGGCCCTGCGTAACTGCCTAGGTGCTAGGCCCTAGCCTGCTGTCCGACTAGCGCCTAGCACCTTTTAGAACCTTGATCCAAGCAATCAACACCGAAAAAAAAAATGAAATGAAAAATAATAAAAATCATAACAAGTGTTTTCTCTCTTCCTCTTCATCCACTCCTTTCCATGGCAAACCCACAAACCACATCTACTGCGGTGGAAGTAAAGAACGTCTACGCGATGGTGGCCCTCCCGCCGGATGACGTGACCCCCAGACCAAGCTGATGCAGGGCCTCAATGCCGAGTTCGGTGGTCCCCAGTTCGAGCCCCACATCACCGTGGTGGGGCCCATCAGCCTGACCCTGGAAGACGCCCTCACGAAGTTCCGATCGGCTTCTGAGGATCTCAATGCCTACGAAACCAAAGTTGATCACGTGGCCACCGGCACTTTCTTTTACCAGTGTATGTTCCTCCTCATAAATCCGACCCCTCAGGTATTTGTTTATTTATTTATTTTACTTTTCCAATTTCTGCCCTTTTTTCTGGGATTAATTGAAATTTAATACGTGTTAATAAAATTTGTTTCTGGGTGCTCTGGCCATTTCGGTTTCAAAAGCTCAACTCGTAAGCTCTAATGCACTAATTTATTTTTCTTGTAAAAATAAAATACACAAATTTATTTTATTATTTGTTAATTTGGATTGAGATTTGAGAGCAAATGTGAAAGGAGGAGAAAATAGATGTGGGTTCCTGCTAATTTTTCTTTTTCTGTTAATTAAAGTTGTCAAAGATTAAGTTTGAAATCTTTATGCTTTTGATCAATAGTTGGTGTTCTCTTTCAATTGGCAAGACAACGATTGAAGCATAAATGTGGCTACTTTGTAACACGCCATATCGTCCATGAGAATGGATCATCTATGCCTTATATGTATAGGAGGCAGATTGTATGCCCTCCTGTTTGGGTGCTATTCTCATCCCCTCCTATTTTGTACGGTCACTGTTAAGCCGCATCAACATTTTATATTTTTTTATAGAGATAATAAGACAAAAAACAATAAAAATATAAAAAGTTGACATGGCTTAACCATGACCGTACAAATAGAAGGAGATGGGAATGACACCCAAATAGGAGGGCAGACAATCTACCTCCATATGTATATTCTCATCTCTACCTAGCACGAGGCATTTTGGGAGCTCACTGCTTCGGGTTCCATCAGAACTCTGAAGTTAAGCGAGTTCGTGCGAGAGCGATCCCATGATAGGTGACCCACTGAGAAGTTCTCGTGTGAGTTCCCAAAAACAAAACCATGAGAGCGTGGTCGGGGACCAAAGCGGACAATATCGTGCTACGACGGAGTTGAGCCCGGGATGTGGTGGGGGCCCGAGGCGAGATGTGACATTAATGGTATTGGTAATGATATTGTTATGCAACGTTTTCAAAACATGAAAACGATTCGAAGAATAATGTAATATGTTGTATGAAAAACTTTATGAATTAATATATTAGTGTTTTGTTCAATGAATTATTTGTGACTTTATTGTTTGAGAATGCCCCCGCTCATACAAATCTCTGGCTTCGTCCTTGTTGTGACCCAAACATGGGTGGTATATTACGTATTTTTATATAAGTGGTGGGATTTACTTTTTAGGTTATTAATTTTTTAACACACATATTCCACTATTTGTATAGGGACACGCGATGTACCAACCCGTGTTCCGGTCATACTAAAAAATCTCTAGTATGCTGGCTATGGTTTTGTGTGTACAAATTGTGGCATCGATGTTTTGGCTGGCTCTTTTGGGTTGTGTGTAGCCTCATGTATTGTTCTTATCTATATATTAGAGTTTTTGTGCATTATTGATATTCTAATAATCTCATTTTGCACTTCAAACTTTCAATTAGAAAGTAAAATGCACTTGTGAGAAGTGTAGAATAATATTTTTGGAGTGTTCTCTTATTTTTAATGACAATTTTCATTGAAGGGATAACATTTAAAAAAAAAATTGAAATATCGTACTTTTTTTCAACAAAATAAAATCTCATTAAATTATTAATTTTTTTTAGTTAATTTGGTACAAATATGGCTTAAATGTCAATCCAATACGAATTTTATCATGTCATAAGTTTAATAAAGATGCAAATATTCGTTAGATGAAATGCACAAATTGATATTGTTTTAAAACCTCAAGTATAATGTACCAATTTAAAAATCACTCTGCATAAAGATACTACAACATTATTCCTGCTAGTATAAACTAAAAATGCAATTTTATAAGTTTTCTCTTTTATTATGTAAGATCCCATATCGCCCAAGAGAGTAGATCCTGTAAACCTTATATGTATATTCTCATCTCTACCTAGCATGAGGCTTTTTGGGAGTTCACTGGCTTCGGGTTCCGTAGGAACTCCGAAGTTAAGCGAGAATCAGCCAGAGCATTCACATGATGGGTGACCAACTGGGAAGTTCTGCTTGCGTGAGTTCCCAGAAACAAAACCGTGAGGGCATGGTTGGGGTCCAAAGCAGACAATATCGTGCTACGGAGAAATCGAGCCCGAAATGTGGTGGGGGCCCGGGCCGGGATGTGACATATTACATTAGAAGATTTTGAACCTTGATAATATATTTTGTCTATTGGCTTACCTCATGTAAGTTTTTGGTTCAACGATATATTGTGTAAAAAATAAATTGATTACGAATTCGTTATTTAAGAGATTTAAATTTAAAATATTATATTTACAAGTAAAAAAAATAAGGAAAACTAATGAAAATAGCTTGAAAACTTTGAATTTTAACGATAAGGACAAAATAAAGTGTAAAACGAATAGTACCATGTTTGACTTTTTAGTGTAAAAATGTGATTTTTTGTTAAAGTGAACAATATCGCCGACTTTTCGTTAAAACTCTCTAAAAAATATCCCTAGATTAAGTAATAAATAACTACCTCATCAAAGTTTAGATAAACTAAAACCGGTGATCCAATTTGTTAAATAAATAAATAAAAAAAACAAAACAAAACAAAACCGCTGATCCAAAAGTCTAAGTCTTATTTTTAATTTTTGAACCGAATCCAATGTCTATCATAAAAACTTTATTCTAAACCATTATTTATACATCGAATATGTGCCCAGAATATTCTATTTATTTTGTTAATAAGATCAATCAATGCCCAAAAACAAAAATTAAATGAAAAATTGAATAAAATTCATCCCCAAAATCCTAACAAGTGTTGGACTCTTGGGCTTTTCTCTCTTCCTCTCCATCCGTCCTCAGTTTCCATGGCAAACCCACAAACCACATCTACTGCGGCGGAAGTAAAGAACGTCTACTCGGTGTGGGCCCTCCCGCCGGATGACGTGGCCCCCAGGCTGAAGAAGCTGATGCAGGGCCTCCGTGCCGAGTTCGGTGGTCCACAGTTCGAGCCCCACATCACCGTGGTGGGGGCCATCAGCCTGACCCTGGACGACGCCCTCGCGAAGTTCCGATCGGCTTCTGAGGGCCTCAAGGCCTACGACGCCAAGGTTGATCGCGTGGCCACCGGCACCTTCTTTTACCAGTGCGTTTTCCTCCTCATAAATCCGACCCCTCAGGTAATTATTATTTATTTATTTTTTTCCAATTTCTTCCTTTTTTGTGGGATTTGATTGGAATACGAGTTATTAATAAAATTAGTTTCTGGGGTTTGATTTTCTCAGGTGGTGGAAGCTAGTGCTCACTGCTCTGGCCATTTCGGTTTCAAAAGCTCAAACCGTAAGTTCTAATGCACTAATTTATTTTTCTTGTGAAAAAAAAGTTACACAGATTTATTTTTATATTTGTTCATTTGGATTGGGAGCAAGCGAGAGAGGAGAAAGTAGAAGTGGGTTGCTGCTAATTTTTATTTTTCTGTTAATTAAAGTTGCTTAAGATTAAGTTTGATATCTTCATGCTTTTGATCAATAGTTGGTGTTCTCCTTCAATTGGCGAGACAACGATTGATGCATAAATGTGGCTACTCAATATTATCTGTGAAAACTAAAAACGGAATAGTTATCAAACTTTCAGGTTGTTAAAAGAAGATAGTTTGCATCTTTCAAAAGCTATATGTTTGCAAGTAATAGCCCAAAATGGTCTCCGATATTGTATTAGTCCAAAATGGGCCCTGATATTGGCATTAGTCTTCACTTTGGTCACTGAAGTTGTCATAATTTCTTATTTAACGGAGATTTTTCATGGAATGACCAAAATGATTGACGATGGACAACCTCAAAGGCTAGTTCTATCGATTTTAAATCTCAGGACCAAAGTGACGAGTCAATCTCGAGGACCAGGCTAAAATGCCTTATTTTTATCAACCAAAAGTATTGTTCTTGGTTTAGGATTGATGATTCCTGGATGGCATTTTAGTCCTGCAGCTTATATGCCACATTTGAGCATCCTTTACGGTGATCTGACCGACGAAGAGAAGAAGAAGGCGCAAGAAAAAGCTAGCACTCTCGACGACAGCATTGCCAGCCTGAGCTTCCCCGTTACTCGCCTTGCGTTGTACAAAACCGACACCGAAGATATAACTCTCAAGTCCTGGGAGAAGATTGCTGAGTGCACCCTCGAATCGAATTAGTTCTCTTACTGCGTGCTTATGATCAAGCTTGTAATCAGGTTCTGTTTCAGTGTCCCTGTCATCTCTTGATCAAAAACATTAACAAGTTGGAGGTTTTGTTGTAATGTCAATTGTCAAAGGCTTAAAGCTGTCACAGAGGATGGGGTTTTTAAGTAAACGCTTGGTTTGGTGATCACTAATCCACTATGGTTTTAATATGTTCCACTATTTGTATAGGGACACGTGATGTACCAACCCGTGTTCTGGTCATACTAAAAAAATCTCTAGTATGCTGGCTATGGTTTTGTGTGTACAAACTGTGGCATCGGTGTTTTGGCTGGCTCTTTTGGGTTGTGTGTAGCCTCATGTACTGTTCTTATCTATATATTAGAGTTTTTGTGCATTATTGGTATTCTAATAATCTCATTTTACACTTCAAACTTTCAATTAGAAAGTAAAATACACTTATGAGAAGTGTAGAATAAGATTTTTGGAGTGTTCTCTTATTTTTAATGACAATTTTCATTGAAGGGATAACATTTAAAAAAAATGAATTGAAATATCGTACTTTTTTTCAACAAAATAAAATCTCATTAAATTATTATTATTTTTTAGTTAATTTGGTACAATTATGGCTTAAATGTCAATCCAATACGAATTTTATCATGTCATAAGTTTAATAAAGATGCAAATATTCGTAAGATGAAATGCACAAATTGATATTGTTTTAAAACCTCAACTATAATGTACCAATTTAGAAGTCACTCTGCATAAAGATACTACAACATTATTCCTGCTAGTATAAACTAAAAATGCAATTTTATAAGTTTTCTCTTTTATTACATTAGAAGATTTTGAATCTTGATAATATATTTTGTCTATTGGCTTACCTCGTGTAAGTTTTTGGTTCAACGATACATTGTGTAAAAAATAAATTGATTACGAATTCGTTATTTAAGAAATTTAAATTTAAAATATTATATTACAAGTAAAAAAAAATCCCTAGATTAAGCAGCTGATCCAAAAGTTTAAGTCTTTTTTATTTATTTTTTTGAACCGAATCCAATGTCTATCATAAAAACTTTATTCTAAACCATTATTTATACATCGAATATGTGCCCAGAATATTCTATTTATTTGGGTAAATTACATAGTAGCCCCTCAAGTTTGAGGTCTATTACAACCTCATATAACATCTTTAAAACATTTCACTTTCATACCTCAAGTATTATTTTATTTCAAAATAATACCTCCGTTACATTTTCCATCCATTGATCCGTTAAGTGCTGACGTGGCTGCTAAATGTGTGCCACGTGGCTGCCAAATGTATGCCACATGGCATAATAATAATTTTTTAATTTTTTTTTCTGAAAAATCTGAATCTTCTTAAAAAAAAAAAAAAAAAAAAAAAAACCAAAACTTAGAAAATGCAGAACCACCCCTGCAACCTCTCCCTACCCTCTTCTCCCTCCAACCACCTCCCTCCTCCACTCTCTTCACCTCCCTGTCCATCCAAACCCACCCCACCCCCACCCTTTCTCCCTTCTCTCATCTGTAACCTCACCCACAACATTCCATATATTCAATCAATGAAATTAAACACAATTGTCCTCAATTCATACACAATATCCAAGAGTTTGACCTTAGGGCAGCAACCACCATTCCTTAAAAGCTCTGGAGTGAGGACGACAGGACTCGACAAACACACAGTGTGATGCCGACGAAAAGCAATCGTCAAAAGACTCCGATTACCACTGCCACCACCATCGATTGGACCGCGATTCCAAGCGCGAGATCTCTCTCGACCCCTGCGACCACAAATCTCGCCGCGAACAGTCAAGCGAGCCGAGCGACGACGGTCGGGAAGTCTCACGCGACCACCGTGAACTGTCCTACGAGCCGAGGGACGAGAGGGAATGGAGCAGAGAGAGGTCCAAGCATCGGGAAGCGAAGCGTGAGAGGTCAAAGGAGCGAGAAGAATCGAAGTTTAGACGGGATTGAGGTTTTTTTTTTCTCTGGGTTGCAGGTACGGGGGTCGGGGGAAGAAGATGAAGATGGGGGAGATGAGGGGGGTGGAGGGGGCGACGGGAAGGGCCTCTGCGAGGTGGGGTGAGGTGGGTCGTCTGGGAGAAGGGGTGTGTAAGTTTCTGGGTTTTTTCTCTGGGTTTCAGCTTTTGATTTTGCTTTTGTTTTTTTTTTAAGAAGATTCAGATTTTTCAAAAAAAANGCTCTTC